CGGCTACTGAATCTCTCATATGTGCATTCATTATTACCTTTTTCTCCATGTATCCTCTACAAAACTCATACCTGACTTGTTGTAGCAGGTCTTGCTGTGCTTTCAGCTGCCTTTGTGCCTCCTGCACTTTACCCTCCATGGTTAAACTGGCACAGAGCTGTGCGCAGTGAACATCGAGCACTGCCATGTTAAGTCTACCTGCAAAAATCCGACTTCAGACAGACAGATAAAGAAGATGAAATTAAATAAATATAAATATCTTTTATGATTAACTGGAACACATTTAAGTTAATGATTCTAAAAGTATTTAACATCCAGTTCCAGCTTTTTACCTGCAGGTAGTTGCTGGTCGCTGTTCAGTGATGATGCGAGTGATTCTGTGTTGGTCTCTGGTCTTGAAGCTGAGCTGCAGTTGGAATGGAAGCGTTCCTTTCTGGAGAAAAACTGGTGAATACAGACCAATATATAACAAAATAGATTAGACTTTCTATTCTATTAAATGCTTTCTGCACTACAAATAATTTTTAAGCTGTAATAATACAGCAGAGTTGACCTACATTCCATAAAATCAGGTTTTACAGCAAACTGGAAGGTGATCTCCAGACCTTTGGTGACATTCCCAATCTCTCTTACCAGTTTGTGATTGTTTTCATCCTCATATGGAAAATACCTAAAGTGAAAGAGAGAGAAGAGTGAAAATAAAAGAAGGAAACAAAGTAAATTAATATTTTGGATACCACTGCACCACTCTATATCATTATTGTTATTAGACTAACATGCAATCGAGTATGTAAAATGTTTATGTGGCAGTGTTTTTACGTTGCCACTCACACTCCATCAGAAGCGAGCAGGGTTGCTTTGACTCCTGTAGCTAGGACGTTATCTTCGGAGACCGATTGAATCTCTCTTGCTACTGTGCCAATGCTGACAATATTTACCTGTGCAAGCCAAGGAGCAGGAGTTACAGCAATATGTTCTTCTTTGTGTTTGCTTGTGTGAATTAATTTGTGTCTATCTTACTCTTCCTCCCGTAGC